CATTTTTTTTTTTTTTTGTATTGACAAGGTTTTGCTATATTATCTAAGCTGGTCTTGAATGCCTAGACTCAAGCAATCCTTCTACCCTGGCCTCCCAAAGTGCTGGGTTTACAGATGTGAGCCACTGCACCCAGCCAGCATGCTAATTTTAAGAAGCTTCTTGAAAATCCAAGCAAAGATGTTGAATAGAAGGAAGATAGGTTTGTCTGGAGCTCATGGGACAGGTTGTGACTGAGGCTAGGAGCCGAGAGCATATCCAGTGCTACCCAGTAGAACATTCTGCAATGATGAAGGTGGGCTGTATCTGCTCTGTCCAATATGATAGTCACACGTGGCTGTTGAGCACTTGATTTGTGGTTAGTGCGACCAGAGAGCTAAATTTTACATTGTATTTAATTTTAATTAATTTAAATCTGAATAGCTATGTGTGGCTAGTGGCTGCTATATTAGATAGTGCAGGAGACAGTCTTTAAACCCGTGGGTCTGAATGAGATCACCAAGGAGAGAAGAAAACAAGAACACTAAGGCACAGTCCTACATTTAGAATTCTGGCTGAGACAGAGGGGCCAGCAAAGGAGACAGAGAAGGAGGGAACAGGGAGGTAGGGGGAAAATCAAGGAAGCAGAGTCCAAGCAGCAAAGTTTCTTCCCCTTAGGAGATACGAGACCTTCAGCACTCTCATGCATGCTAGGATGTGTGGTCTCCCTCACTGCACACAGGGAACTGGTCCCTCTCAGCGAATGCTGGGGGCTATAGTTCATGCCGAGTGTATTAATGATGTTGATGTTAGCTGCTGTACCAGATAAAACCCCAAATCTCAGTGACTCAGCCCAATAGAGAGTAGTTTCTCGCTCATATAAAATCCAAACAGGGCCGTGGACAGTGGCTCACACCTGTAATCCCAGCATTTTGGGGGGCCGAGGAGGGAGAATTGCTTGAGCCTAGGAGTTTGAGACCAGTCTGGCCAATATAGGAGACCTTGTCTCTACAAAATGTCAAAATGTCAGCTGGACATGGTAGCAAGCACCCACCTGTAGTCCCAGCTACTCAGGAGGCTGAGGAGGAAGGGTCGCCTGAGCCAAAGAGGTCAAGGCTATGGTGAACTGTGATCATGCCACTGCCCTCCTGCCTGGGCAACAGAGTGAGACCCTGCCTCAAAAAATAAAGGTAGAGTCCAAAACAGGTGTTCCTTATTGGAGGTGGTTCTACTCCACATGGTGATGCAGGGACTCAGGCTCCCTCCCTCTTGTGGCTCTGTAATCCCCTAGGACTTCAGAGTTCTCTTCTGTGGCCTCCACATCTGCCCTCAGACAGGGAAGAGATAGGGCTCATGGGGAAGAGTTTTTATAGGTGAGTCTAGAAGAACTCAGTCAGTAGCTAAGTCTAATCCAGATCTAGCCCTAGGAGGAGAAGAACACGGGTCTAGTGAGCAACCAGTCTGCCATACTGGGAGCTGCAATGCACAGTTGACCTCTGGAAGCTGTGGTCCCCTTATCAGTGGCTGGGAGATGCCCCCACTTGGGGAGGCCTGACGTCTTCCTCCCTCCCCGGCAGGAGAAGGGCTCCACCTTCCTGCAGCTGGGCTCCTCCACAGAGCAACAGCTTCAGGTCATCTTTGAGGTGCTGGAAGAGTACGACTGGACGTCCTTTGTAGCGGTGACCACGCGTGCCCCTGGCCACCGGGCCTTCCTGTCCTACATCGAGGTGCTGACCGACGGCAGC